TAATTGTCCTATCTACGCTAAATAGAAAAGTAAGGTTAGAGGGTTAAGCTGGGTGTGTTATTTTTATTTTTTGCCACGATAAACCGGGCATATTTTTCTTAATCGTCAATGATGTGTGCGCACACGCACACACACACACACACACACACACACACACACACACACACACACACATATATATATATATATAATTATTTACTTTAAAAATTATAACATAAATATGTTATAAAATCACAACAAAAATTGCCATTTTGTTTCAACACCTCTGGTGTCTTATCAAGTGATGATGTTGAATGCCCTCTCTCTCTCTCTCTCTCTCTCTCTATATATATATATATATATATATATATATATATATATATATATATATATATATATATATATAATGTTATTGGTCAGAGTTGAATTAAACCAGGACGCAGTAACATTAAAAAGTGCTCAAATAAATAAATAAAATAAAAAATTAATATTCATATATATATATATATATATATATATATATAAATGAATATTATATATATATATATATATATATATATATATATATATATATATATATATGTTGATCCAATCGAAAATTGTTGATTCATCATTTAAATTTCATGTTTTTATAAAGTTTTGGTCCATTAAATAAATGTGTTTTGAAAAAGATCGAATCATTGAAGTTGTTTTACTCAGGCAAATAAACATACGAATGTATTTTTTATAAATGAAAGAAAAAGTGAATTCCAAATAAGTATCATTTTGATAAGATAGATTATGAAAGTCAAATATTTTAAATGGACGTCAGTTTATGCAGTAATTATTGGCAAGTATCATCGAAATAGAAGGAAAATGAATGAGGGAAATAAATAAGGATTTGAAGAGTAACTTTTAAAACCTTTACAGAATATGGCACCTGATACAATCAGACAGATTGTAATTGTACAGGTGTTGTATTTGATAATTATTGCCAACTATTCCGATGGTTCCTGAAATGTAGATCAGTTGGTGATCTTAAAGACACCGAAACCAATTACCCGTCTTAATTAGTCATTAAAACGCGGTCATTGATAATTTCTATTTATTCAGTTGCTTTATCACGTGATCTCTGCTTCAGTGAAATTACGGTTAAAAAAATACAAGAATCACGAAGTGACGATAATCGTTCAACCGGCATCAAGTCAGGATCCACCCACAAATTTGTCAACAAAATATAAATTTACCTGTGCCTCTCAATTTACAAGCAAATAATTGAAAACAACAAAAACAACAGCAGCAACAACCATGCATCATCCCAAAGCTGATGTTTATCGTCTATATGTGTCCAGATCCGAAGGAGGCAGAGAATTAGTTCAACTAGAACTGTCCTACAAAACTACAACAATTGGCCTCCAAAGATACTTGGAAACTATAGAAGACTGGATGATGGTATGTGTCAAGGAACATGAAAGTAGTAAGCGTCTTTACTCCGTAATAAAAGAAGCCAACAAATTCAAAATGGAATTCCAAATGGCCGTAGAGATCCAACTAAAGCACAATACACCGGCTGAAACTGCAAAATACTTAAAAAAAAGACAGCAAAGACGAATGCAACCGACCAGATACAGAAGCGTTGGCAAGATAAACCGCTTCATGGCCAATACTCTGCCAGGTTCCTTGTTTTGGGGAGTAGAAAATATTGCAGGTTAGTCAAAATATAATGGAAATGTTTCACTTGATCTATGCACATTAAGGAGATGGGTCAGTAAAGTCAATGATAATTCTAAAGAGAAAGTGATTTTAGTAACAAGCCTCGTCACTAAAATTACCAATTCTTCAAATATTACTTTTTATATTACGATTAAAAAGTGGGTTTAAACCATATAACATTACTGTGTCTCTATTTATTTTGACCTCTTTTCATATAGTCCAGTTCCGTCTACTTTAATATATATATATATATATATATATATATATATATATATATATATATATATATATATATATATATATATACACTATTAATCCCTGTTTATTTTAAATGTTAAAAACTTCTATTTTAATTGCAATATATATTTTTTAAAAAAAAAACCCTGTAATCCCTGTATAATAAAAGGATTAAGACGGATTATATATAAGGGTGTTTCATTAAGAAGGACCAAAGTCAGCAGTAAATAAATCAGTGTTATTGGTGAAAATTTATTTATTTCTCTATTGGATCATGTTATTTAAGTCATGGCAACTATGTGTGAAAAGTAATATCGCCCAAATGTCCGCCAGATTTCAAAGAAAAAGAAAAAAAATCATTACACGCTTAAACTTAATTCGCATTTGAAAACCGATCCAAGTTATTAGAACACCTTTTATATTGACTGTGTCAATATTGTGCTAACCATATATGTTTAATAAAATTTAAATTTTGTTACGGTCAGTCTCTATCCAGCTCGTGAAGAAGACGTTTTGCATGAAATTCCGAGTAATGCTATCCGTCAGGGATAATATGTATATTTATTAATATATACTTAATAGTTCTGTTATATTACACAGACCACTATTTTTATTAACACTAGCACTCTATGTGTTTTCGGGAAACATTTAATAAAAAATCACAGATTTTAACTTCCAACAGCCTTTCAAACGCAAGTGAAGACGTGGCTACATAGCTTTTATTCTTCCGGCCGAGCGGGTACTGAAAGAAACATGTGTCGGCGACTGAAAATGAATCATCTCCAACAACAACTGCTAGGACGGTCAGTGAACCTTCGCTGACGATCAAAGACTTTGAATAGTTGGTTCACATACGCACACACACACACATACATATATATACATTAATATATATATGCATGTATATATTGATGCATATGCATATGTTCATGTGTAATGAGTATGTTTTTGCTTGCAGACATGTATACATATAACTATTCGCTTACTCACATATATATAAGCAAGAATATATATATATATATATATATATATATATATATATAGGGAAAGAGAGAAAGAATGTGAGAAAGGAAGATATAGTATATATATATATATATATATATATATATATATATATGTGTGTGTGTGTGTGTCCGTTTTCTCTAGTTTTCCGAGCATTCACGACTGCTATGGAGGCAAGAAAATGCCTGTTGCAGACTCATTCTCAAGCATATTTGTGTTTGTTCATCACCCACAGGGCGCTTAATCATTCATGGTCAGTAGCCTGTATGTTCAAACTCTTGATCACGATAATTTGTTCTAGCAACAACCATCGACTGCTTCTGAACAGTTTTCAGTCTCATTCACAAGGTTTGCTCCGACATTTGCTATGCTTTTCACACGCTTTCCAATGCTGCTGTAGGCAGGTAAATATCAGTTGGTTGATTTATTCTTTTTTACGGCTTATCTACCCTTTGAAGTTTATTTAAAACCAGAAGATTTTTTGGGGAGGAGGGGAGATAATAATGGCTTAGGGATACAAGTTCTACTAGTCAACGCATATCTGGAGGTGGGAGGTGAAGATGTGAATTCCTGCCTTTCCCAAGAATATTTGCGTTTAAGTCAATATAACGAATCTAGCAGGAGTTGAAACTCAACGATCTATTGACAATACCGAGCCATTATCTATTATACCAAGTTTACAGCACCTGGTATTCACAAGCGGTCACCCATCTAGGTACTGACCAAGTTCGACGTTGCTTAACTTTGGGTAGTTGTCCCGCACTAAAAAGTTGTGGTTGAATAATACTTTTAACTAGTTTATTCACAGCCAAGGATGTAGTCGAGAAAAGACTTTTAAGTAGTTGGTTGACTGTAAAAAGCTGTAAAAATATGTGGTTGAGAAAAGACGTTTAAGCAGTTCGAGCACAGTAAAAGGCTGTGTTGAGAAAAGATCATCAGCGAAGAATTCAATAATCGTCCCTGTTTTTGTTGCTGGAGATGCTTCATTTGGAGTCGCCGACATATATTTCTTTCCACAAGGGAGAAGTGCGATAGAAAAACTGTTAGCATAGAAATTTAGCACAGAATTATTATATTTAGCCATTTCAACCGTAAAATAATGAGATCTTGCCACCAATCTCGTACTAATTTAATGTCTAAGTAATAAAGAGGAAAACTCAGAGCTATTACCATGAACGTATTCATAGAAAAGACACAAGGATCCTATCTTATGGCGGTGGAAAAGGATCAATAATATTGCAGATTCTTCTTTGGATTTTATCAAGAATTTCTAAATATATAGCAGAAGAATCAAATCAGATGTGGCAGTAACATTTTCTTTTTTTTTTTTAAAAATGGACGAATGTTAGATTTATGAATATGTAAGATATATTCTGTCAAGAAAAATTGTTTAGCACAACACAATGAACCAATTTTCCTATCAGTAAATCTAGCAATCGATTCAATATAATCATTTCATTTCTTGTCAGCGGAAAATTTTAGTCCTAGAAAGCGGAAGGAGTCACTCTTCTGGAGGTTAGCATCAGCCATACTGATGGAAGGCAGAAATGGTTCTCTCTGACGATTAAAAGTGACCAGTTTCATTTTGGGGGCTTTACAATTAACAATCCTTGCCCAAGTTAAAAACAGATCGTAGGTCATTTTTTAAAATCATCTGCCAATTTAACCTTATCGAATTGATCAGACTTACTATTAAAAGATGAGTAAATAGTTGTATCATCAGTATAACTACAGATTTGAGAACTGATGGCATCAGGAAGGTCATTGATAAAACTTAGGAAAAAACATAAGTCCAAGTATCTTTGAGGGACAGAAGTATTAATGTAAAAAGATCTAGAAGAGTGGCCGGTCAAGATGACTTTCATTTCACGATTTCATGAAAAGAGACTGAATCAATTCAAAAATTCTTCCAGAAATACTATAATCATTCAACTTGTGAAGAAGACGAACGTGTCAAACGTTTTCGAGAAATCCAAAGCAAGTCTGAACATTACCATTCTTATTAAAACTTAATAGACTCTTTCGGCAATAATTCTTAATACATCATCAGTTAACATAGAAAAGCGGAAATCATATTGCTCATCTGAAAGAAAAATGCGAATTGATTCCTATGTCATTATTCCATCTATCTATCTATCTATCTATCTATCTATCTATCTATCTATCTATCTAATTTGATTCATATCTATCTATTTGTCTATCTCTTATTCCAATTTGATTCATATCTATCTTTCTATCTATTATTCTAATCTATCTATCTATCTATCTATCTATCTATCTATCTATCTATGTAATTTAATTCATATTTATCTATTTATCTATCTCTTATTCCAATTTGATTCATATCTATCTTTCTATCTATTATTCTAATCTATCTATCTATCTATCTATCTATCTATCTATCTATCTATCTATCTATCTAAGCACAAATATATACGCGTGAATATATCTATTTCTATATATTTGCATTTATATATTTGTATTTGCATGTCTTAATTTCATCCCTGAAGAATATTTTAACGCTTATCTCTTAAACTAATTATGGGAAGAGATAAACTTTTTTGAATATGAGTCAAGAGAAAATGTGTTTGCGAAATTTTATCTTAAATGATGAATGAATTAGTGAGATAACGGAAAACTATTTTCCCGGTAGGAATAGATTTGAATTTATGTAAATCGTTTCTAGAATTTAAACAGCTTCCTAAGTAAATTGGCCAAATATGAATTTTATTCCTCTAACAAATTACCTCCTTTGACGTATGGATTTTATAAATAAAAAAATCACACAAACACACACACACACATATATGTATATATATATATATATATATATATATATATTATTAGGACTCTCCTGTCGATTACCCGCACATATCACCTTATTCTAGCGGTGAAGGTTTGTGCAAAACCAACCACATTTTCAGGAGAGCCAAATACAGAGAACTGGTGCACATTATGCCACAAAGTCCCAAAACAACAGTCCACAGGTTTTGAATTGGAGTTCTTCTTTTTAGATCGTTTGCTACCCAAAATTGTTGCTATTTATCCATGGCTGGGAGAGAAGAGAAATGAATGTAATGGATTCTGACTGAATTCGAACTCGGCTCATTTCAATTCAATTTCCACCGTGCTTCAATATATGCTGAAAAAGACGTCCGTCCTACTAAGAATAATGGTCATTTGGCTTAGCCTACTATTACGTGTGTACATATACGACAGCTGCCAAATCGCTGTATGAGAAAGGCCACCAAACAGGCCGCGGAGAATGAGCTTTACTCCAAACCGCCGAAAACACGATGCTGCTCTGCTCAATTGATTATAATCATTCATACCTTGTGCAACGTTACGTGGACTCTGGGTATCAGAGAGCTTTAACTAGAAACCTGTCAAGATAATTGGAAATTGTATGTGTCGATTTATAATTGTATCTGATTGCAAGAAAAGGCGGTATGAGGAGAATAGACCTGTGAAGTCCCCAATCGAAAAACCTATAATCTCAAACGTTATCCTCAACAACAAAATTCAGGCACAAACTTTTAAAGAAACGAAAGAGACTGTAACATTTTTTAACACACATCAATCAATATCTGTAATTCACATCATGAAAAAGAAAATAGAAATTTTGTTATTAATGTCAACACATGTCTTGAGTATTATTGTGTATATTATTTTGTCCTTTTAATTTATTTCAGCATAAAAAAAAAAAAAGGATTCCTATATAAACTACTACTACTACAATTACACATATAACGATGGGATAATTACATTTATTTCCACCCTGTTGCAGTTTCTTGATTCTGTTAATCTGAAGAAGACATTAGTTTTGTTCCAATACAATTAAGGAATGCAGTTCAATATTGTGACTTTTCGGCTAACGTTCTTCATTGACATGAAATGGAAAGATTATATTGAATCAATTGCTAGTTCTGCTACTAGGACATTTTGTTCTAGACATTTTTTCTCGGCAGAATCCATTTTACATATTTATAAGTTTGCCATTCATATATGCTTTGAATAATGCTACCACATCTGGTCTGGTACTCCTGCTATATATTTAGAGAGTCTTGATAAAATCCAAAGATGTTATTGGTCCTGACCTGACGTCCTTTTCTCACCGTCGTAACGTAGCTTCCCTGCGCCTTTTCTAGAAATATTTTTATAGTAATTTATCTGATGAGCTTTCCTTTTTGGTACCTCGATTTTTTGAAGCGCTGAACTTGATTGGCAATTAGGTCTCACCATTTTACAGTTAAAATTGCTAGATATATAAAATGGCTAACAGTTTTTTTTTTCTTGGCAATTCTCGCTTGTGGGAATCTCTTCCGGTTTCTTGATTTTTTGTCAACTTTGATCTTCAAAAGTTTAGATACATTATTAATCGTTATCTTCTGTCTTCTTCATTCATGTTCTTTTATTGTCCTCTTTCGTTAATGATGTTCCGAGAATTTTGTTGTTGAGGATAACGTTTGAGATTCCACACTACATCAAACCAAAGGTTAGGAAGGAAACCCCATCAATCCTGGAAAAATCGGTAACAGTGGACATATTTTTCTGAAAAATTGTTTTAATAGGAAGATTTTTAAAATATCTACTGGCAGTAGTAGCTGCTCGATCAACGAATGTCCAATATTTCCTTACAAGGAAACGGCTAATATTACCATATGAAAATCCATGAATGAAATTTTACTATCGTTTCTGACCGCCTGAAGATCGCGTTTGGTGAAGTTCGTTACATGCTTATCAAGAAGACTCAAAATACACTTCTCTGACCATAGCTCAATTTAATTTGGGAACCCACAAAACTCATCCCAGTTTTCGTAGAAAATACAAACAAAAAGAGCCGCATGTATAAAAAAGATTTTAAATAAAATGATTGAATTGAGATATTAGTGGATAAACGTCAAGTTAACTGTCGTGATGCTGTAGTATTTATAAGACGCACACACATAACATACGCGGATAAATATATATATATATATATATATATATATATATATATATAAATATATATATATAATAAGGAAATAGAAAATCCTCGGCCTGACGAACTTTTTGAGCAAATTACTAAGTATCTGATATTGATCGAGCCGCGAAAAATGTGCATGACTATTGAGAGATTGGCGGATGTATCTTTGCTTACACACATGTAATATATATATATATATATATATATATGTGTGTGTGTGTGTGTGTGTGTGTGAATTTAGCTTTATTCTTACGTAGGAAAAATGTCTCGTTTTCTCAAGCCATTACTTGTTTTGGTAGCAGCTTTTCACTTTCCAAATTGTCACAGAAGGGGTGTCTAAAACTGTTTTTGATAACATATCCGGGTTTATCTTCAGTTTCATTTTGGCAAGTTTTTCTAAGCTTCTTATGCTGAAGATGTTCGATTTTACGATAAAATGAAAATACAAAACGTCCCAAGGGATAGATCTGCATTCCCTGCTGTATAAGACCCTCACCCCCTTTTGCAGTGTATTACCTAATCTCTGTTTTCTTATTCCTGTCAGTTCACTTTTCGCAGAGTCTATATAATGATAACTTCCGACCCAAAGTCTGCAAGAATGAAGATTAGATTTATTACATTTTCTTCTGACAAACATTTCTTTTCAGCTTTTAAGTTCAAAGGTCATTTCAAACGGGTAATGGTTAACACGTATCATTTATTTACTACTTAAAAAGAAAGTTAACTTGATAACAAAACATTTCAAAAAAGAATTATCTCAATTTTTTTTTTTGCAAGGCTACTTTCATTCTTCTCTTAATGAAAATGAATGGTTTAATTATCAGTACAACGCAGCAGGTCACCTTTTTGAGGGAAGCGGTTAAAGAATATATATATATATATATATATATATATATATATATATATATTTAAAAGAAAAACAGACCACTTTAAGGTACCATTATAATAATTTATTTCACCAGTTCTTTTTAAATAATAATAATAATAATAATATATATATATATATATATATATATATATATATATTATTACTTCAAAATATATTATACCAGATAATTTGAAGTAATAAAAATGTCGCTTTAGAAATAAACCCATTATTTTTTATATATATATATATATATATATATATATATATATATATATATATATATATATATATTATGAATTGAAAGAATATGGATTAAATCCAACAAAATGAGTAAATAAGAAAGTGTATATTTCGCTTTTATTTTAGATTTCTGAGATCTTTAAAAAATTGCTGAAACTAAAGTGAATCGTTCAATTTATAAATGTTTTCTTATTCCTCATTTAATCATATATATATATAGTCACAATCTAGTATCTTTTCAAGTACTGGTCTGAGCATTCGAGTAATTTTATTTCATATTTCTTTGAAAATCATAAGTGCTCAGTTTCATATGAAAACTTAAAGCAATTTCTAAAGAATTAATGGAATTCGTTTATAAATCCGTCATATTACTTGAAACGTTTAAAGACAAATAGAAGTAGGTTTGATGATGAAGCTCTACGTAGCCGTGTGGTCAAAGCACGTCGGGTAAAACGACTGTTTTCCCTGCAAAGAGAAACTTAGTTTCGGACCCTGTCAAAGGACGCATCTTCTTTAATAAGATTTCTCGAATGTTCCGGACAGTAGCCTAAATAACATACTGTCTTTTTAAACAGAGAATCTACTGATAAAAAAATAATAGTACTTAAAGCAATAAAAAGGACGTCTAATTTTGGGTATTTCAAAGTAGTAAAATTTTTCATTTTCTTATGCACCGCGCCCCTTTAGGAGGGTTTATATATATATATATATATATATATATATATATATATATATATAGAGAGAGAGAGAGAGAGAGAGAGAGAGAGTTGGTATGAAAGCAATACTTCCCATGTTATTATATTGCCTCACAGCATCCAAAATGAAGTGATTTAATTGAACTGTTATTGTATAAATCGCAAGTTAACCGTCGCGATTATGTAGTGATTATATAACTAATGTATGTCCTGTCGGAATTGTTATTATTAAAGATATTATTGAATTCACCATGATTTATTTGTTCATTTGTAAATAATTTCCTTTGTCTACATCCTGGTATTCTTTGGAAAGCATCGCAGTCATTTTCAAAAACCGAAAGTACTTGAACAAAACGATAACAAAATATGAACTGCGGACAGTTTATTCACAACTTCGGTCACAAGACTG